ACTAGAAGAACTAGAGTTTAAAAAAATTTTTTTGAGGGCCGGCCCCATGGCTTGGCGGTTAAGTGCGCGCGCTCCACTGCTGGCGGCCCGGGTTCACATCCCGGGCGCGCACCGACGCACGGCTTCTCCGGCCATGCTGAGGCCACGTCCCACATACAGCAACTAGAGGGATGTGCAGCTATGACATACAACTATCTACTGGGGCTTTGGGGGGAAAAATAAATAAATAAAATCTTTAAAAAAAAAAAAAAATTTTTGACATTACTAAGCATTTTATTAAACTTACATTTAGAGGTGGCTACTTCACTTTTCCAAAACAAAGAGCCTTTGCTTTCCTCTGCCATCTAAAAATTCTTATTAGCATAAGCTGTATATTATTTATTCCTTTTACCAAGTCAAGTAACACATTCCCAGCTTACCTTTTTTGTGTCTTCTGCATGTTTTTCCATCTTTATTTATTTTAATAATAATTTCATCTCATAACAGAAGATTCATTCACTTCTTCAAACAAATATTTATTGGGCACCTACTCTATGCAAGCTGCTTTCCCAGGTACTAGGTATACAGCAGTGACCCAACGAAAATCCCTGTCCTCACGGAACTTACATCTAATAGACAAGATAAATAAATAATTGTAGGTCAGGGAGTGATTAAATGCTAAGAAGAAACAAAGTAGAGAAGAGGATATATGAAATATGAGGAATATTGAAACTTGATGGGATGATCAGGGAAGGCTTCACTGAGAAGGAAATTTTTGAGAAAAGAGCTAAGGGAAGTAAAGAGGTGAGCCATGTAGCTATGTGGGAAGAGCATTCCAGGCCTAGGGAACAGCAAGACCAGGAAGAAGTTGTGTGTGTGGGGTGGGGTCACCAAGTTATACGGGGGAAGAAGTTGGAGAAATAGGAGAGAGCAACATCATGTAGTGTGTTTGTTTGAGTTCTGTAATTATCTTTCTTTATTCTATGATTTTCCTGAGAATTATATTTCTGTTCTTTCTAGCTCTGTACAGAATTACATGCTTTTCTTTTTATGAATTTACTTTAATAAGCAGTTAAAAAATTTGCCATTTTTACCATTTTTGTGTGATCACATACACAAGTTAGTCAAAGATTTGTGCTTGTGGAAAAACATATGATGTCTTTTTTCTACTTGCTATTTAATTTCATGATTAAAAAAATTTAATATCATTGTTTCTTGGGCTGCAGATCTTTACTACTATCCCAGTAAAAGTGATTAGCAATCCAGTTGCCTAGTGCTACTTTACATAATATTTGTCTTGTCATTTTCTAGTTTTTCTCGCAAAATTCTAAATTTTCACCCTGGCAGCACAGTTTTAAATGAATAATTTTCAATGGCATTTTTTAAAAAGTAAATCCAACTTAAAAAAAATAAACTAACCTTGAGAGTTATGCCTTGTTTAGGTTTTCTTAGAGACTTTTATTTTCTCTTGCTCTCTGTTCAGCCAAAGTAAATTATTTGCTTTCCATGAAATGACCAGGAATCTAAGCAGATAAGTTAAACCAATTGAAGAATGTCAGAGGCTGTTTAACTCAAATTGACTTTAATGAATTGATGAGTTAGAATTTATAGTATGTTAGAATGGGCATTTGAAATCAAAAGATTTTGCTGCTTAGCTCCCTCACTGAATAGTTGTGAAGCTCTTTCTGAACTTCAGTTTTCTTGCCTGTAAACGGAAGTCAAATTGCCTACTTCAGAGGCTCACCAACACATTGTTTTGAGAATATGATTGAATAATATATGGGAACAATCTCAAAAATGTAAGTAGTGTTGTTTTCTATTCTGTTAGACCACTTATGCTTATCTTTTAAAATTTTGTTAAATTTTAACATTCATTGGCTTTGTTACGTCTAGATAATGTTAACAGTTTATAATTTTTTTTGACTAATGGTCCCTTTAATAGATCTTTTGTGAAACTGCTCTTACAATGTAGTTGGACAAGTCTTGGTTGTCACCCAGCGGTGCTGTGGTGACTTTACTCTCAGTTGCGGTGGCCTCTGGCATTTACCTCAATTAGATTTTACTTGCCCTCGCTTTGAAGACAGCTGTTAGCAACACGGAATGGTGGGTAGTACCTAGAAGCAGCAGTGGGATACTACCTCACCAACCTGCTTTGGCCTGTTTGGAAATAAAAATTTCATTTAGAGAACCTTCAGTCAAAACTTTATGAAACACTAAGTATATGGGAAATTATTATACCAGCACATTGGCCCACCAGCCCAGGGCAACGTGAAGCTGTGAGGAGCTCTAGAAGTGCATATTGCTGCAAGGTCTGGAGTACCCAAGGCATCCATAATAACTTTTGTTTTAAGTTTTCGAAATTTGAAAGAATCAGAATAGAGCAATGCTTCTCAAACTTTGCTGCATATTAGTCTCCCAGGAGTTTGTAAAAACCCCAGTGCCCAGGTCATACCTCATACTAATTAAATTAAAATGTCTAGAGTGAGAGCCAGGCATCAGTTCTTAAAGATGCCCAGGTGGTATCAATGTGCAGCAATGTTTGAGACCCACAGGAATACATGGCTCTGGCCTCCATTCTTTTACTACCCATTACTGTTTCACATGCTTTAGCACCATTAGTGTGAGCTTGATAATCCTTTCAGGAAAAACATTAGAAAGTAGTAGGTAATGTCCCTCAAGCAAATTTGTGGTCTACATTTTTTAAGAGTATGTACTGTTTTACATAGTCTTATGTTGTTTTGAACTTTAACTTTCATTAATGTCCATGGTAGATATGTTCATGTTATTTTTTCCCACTTATTACAGATATTTCCTTGACAACTTTAAATAAAACCATGCTTTTGTGATTTAAGACACTGAATAAAATGTCTACAAGTATTAACTAGTTAGGAATTTCATTCCCTTTTTTTGTTGTTGTGAGGAAGATCAGCCCTGAGCTAACATCCATGCCAATCCTCCTCTTTTTTTTGCTGAGGAAGACTGGCCCTGGGCTAACATCTGTGCCCATCTTCCTCCACTTTATATGGGACGCCGCCACAGCATGGCTTGACAAGTGCGTGGTACGCACCCGGGATCCGAACCTGGGCCGCCAGCAGCGGAGCGCGCGCACTTAACCACTACGAACCACTATGCCACGGGGCCGGCCCCAGGAATTTCATTCCTTTGTTTTGATTACAATGGCCGTTTTCAGAATAAAGGACCAACAGCCATTTTGTTTTTCCAAATCCATTTTTATTTTTCTCCGGTTTAGTAATAAACTGTTACAAGCTGGCCTAAATTTATGAAATTAGTATGAGCCTGAAGGAATAGACTGTTTAATTATATCACAGCCGCATTAATATTTACTAATACAGAAGATGATTGGTGAGTGAAACAAATACTATACCTGTAGCATTACTAACCATGTCATAAGGGAATAAGTAGTTTTCCGGTATGGTGGTTTAAGTCAGCCTCAATGTAATCTAATAAAAAATAGAATTTTAAGTGTGCAAGAGGAATTCCTGAGTGGCTTGTTTTCTCATGTTGACAAGAGCTAGAGTTTTGGCTGTACATCCTTGAGCATTTGCCTAAGGCTTGACATAAGTTCAAGTGGTCACAATATTATCTTAAAAACAATAGAAATTCTATTTTGATTTATAAAAAAATTTCTGTTTCATAGTCCCTGTCAACTGTGTGTGTGAAAAAATGCAGAACATGAATTGATGCTCTGTGAGTTTTTTCATTGTCATTTAAAATTGAAGAACATGACCCTATTGTCTCCAGTGCTGTCAAAGTATTGTAAATTATGGAAATTTTACAATGCAAATATTTGGCTTAACTCATAACATTTAGTCATCCAATTTTTGTTTTGGATATTTTGTTTTTCTTGTTTTGCATTTTTATTTTGTTTTGTTTTCAGCCATCATTATGTCTTATCATCTTCAATTCTAGAGCAACCTGACAACAATAATGATACTACTGAATTGGGCATCCTTGTCATTCCTGAGATTAGTGTCACAAATGTGGCCGGAGAGAGAACCGGGAATGGGGAAAAAGGCAGAACACTAGGAGAGATTGATGCTCAGCATATACAGGGTGTACAGGAAACAGCCACAGATCCTAGAACTGAGAGCAAAGGCTTGCCAGAGATCAGGAGGCAAAAATCTGTAAGAAAAATGATGGAGGATGGAATAAACTCACCTGGCAGAGTGCAGTTTTAGCAGAGCACTTTATAGCTGCACTCCAAGGTATCTCATGGCAAAGGGCCACTGCTGCATGTTTCAAGCAACAGTTGCACAGTTACAGAAATTTTGCATGTCACCTAATAATCAAAATGCATGAATTATGCACCACAATTTCTCAATGACTCTTAATGCTCTTTGGAATGGTCATACCTATATTGTCACTGAGTAAATGTTGTGAAAACTGAGGCAGAAAATTGCTTCCAAAATAATTTTCTGCTTATGTTTTGAGATCTAAAATTACTCTTTCATCTGTGTATTTTTGCCATCTTTGATATGAAGGATAATGTATATAGAATTTTAAGTTTGAACTTGAATACTTAATGTTCTATATTTTTTTATCTTAGTAAAATCTAAAATGTAGAATGCAACCTTTTTAAAAAAAATCTTTAAAATATTTATTACCACTTTTTAAGAAGTTCCTTAGTAAGACCTTTGATTTTATATTCTTTGCTACTGGGGGAGAGTTTACCCCTAGTTTTACTGTGTGATATTTTTCCTGATTGTTTCTGATCTTTTGCATGAATAGTAAGAGAACTCTCTGAAAACACAATGGGGTATGGTTTATGGCATGCTTTTTGTTTAATACACTCTAAATTACTCTTATTTAATTACAATGAACTATTTTTGACATTTTATAGAATGTTTTGATTTATCCTTTGATTTTGGTCTATAATCTGTTGCTTTATGTAATTATGCTAAAGTTTAATTTATTTAAAGTATAATTGATTTGGTATTGATCATGAAAAAAATTACTTAAAATACTTAATGTTAATTAATCTTTGTTATTTCTTTGTTTAGGAAATACAGAATTAACAGGTCAAGAAGAATTGATGGAGATATCTGAAGTTGACGAGGGATTTTATTCCAGGGCTGCGTCTAATACCAGCCAGTCGGGTTTATCAAACAGTAATCACAATTCTAGTAACAAGACAAGTGTAGGAAAGACTCAGAGACGGTCAGGAGGAAGCAAAACTGGAGGAAAAGAGAAAGAAACTGCAGGGGAGTCTTGCAAAGATCACTTTGCTCGAAAACAAACTCAGAGAGCCCAAAGTGAGAATCTTGAGCTTCTGTCTTTGAAGAGACTTACGTTAACAACCAGCCAATCCCTGCCTAAACCTAGTAGCCATGGTTTGGCTAAGACGGCCACAACTGTATTTAGTAAATCCTTTGAACAAGTCAGTGGTGTCACAGTCCCACATAACCCATCACCTGCTGTTGGCTCTGGGACTGGGACAGATGCCAATAGGTTTTCTGCTTGTAGTCTCCAAGAAGAAAAGCTTATTTATGTTTCTGAAAGGACTGAACTTCCAACAAAGCATCAACCAGGTCCGCAGAGACCTCCTAGTATTAGCATTACTCTGTCTACAGATTAATTTGTAGTCATTTTCTTATGTAACCAGTGAATCTGGAAATACGACTGCTTCTTTGTGAAAGTGCCCAGGGCCTTTCATTCCTGTTCCTGACAGGAACCCTGATGGCTTAAAGTCTGACGCTACTTTGACTTTATGAAGGGAATAATGTCTAGGTGGCAGTAAGTTGAAATAGTGGTTTTGTTATTCCCCTTGATTTGAGTCTTTTTTCTTTATTGGTTTCTGTTGCCCTAAGATTGTCAGTGTGACAATACATTTTGGCAGATTGTCATATCAGATTGGTTACATCTCATGTGAGGTTGTTAGTTTTTTTTTTTTTTTTCTTTTTTAATAACTCCTATTTTGGTAGTGTATGTTGGGCCTTCAGAGTAAAAGGGAATCTCCATGTATGGGAACTGTTTTTTAAAGGACAAGGCAGAGGTGTAACTCCAGGAATTCTACAGCTGGCTGTTCCGCAAGCCAGTCTGAAAATCAGGCATGTGAAAAAGCAAAAATGATGTGTATGGAAAGTCCCTGATAAAAATGTTTGTAACCAGATTATCTTTAAGATCAGTAGAATAGTTTATATAAAGCACTGGAAAATGCCTGGTAACTCAGTATGTAGATTATTATATGATTCCAGAGGATGAATAGATGGATTTCTGTTGTTATCTTTGGAACATTTTTATATCAAAAATCAGATTGCTAGTAGATGTGTTGTTTTGAAGTGTTTGATCTGGATTGAGCAGGTAAAAATCCCTTTCAATTCTTAAGATGTAATAGGCCATAAAGCTGACTTACCCTGCTGGTTGGCTTCAGAAATCCTAATTAGTTTGGATTCCTATAATTCAGAGCACACATCACTGAAGACTTCCTGGAAATCGTTGTAAACCTTGCAACACAGCTCTCAAGATGCCAGTGTCAACCATGTAATATTGAATTGTTTGTCTGCAAATGAAGGAAATTAGGTAATTTTTTCATCTATAAAATGTCATGAAAGAAAATAAAGATAGTGAAATATGGACAAAGGACAATTATGTATTAACTAATTTAGGGTTATTTATGTTTGTGTTCTTAAATTTAAAATGATAAAATATGGAAAAATCTAAATGTGTTTCTTGTTTTGTGAACAGGCCTATTTTAAATGTTCTTCTTATGACAGAAAGAATAATCAATGTAGTTACCCCCAATCAAAAAATAAAAATAAAAAAGACAATATGGCAGAAAAGCTAAACAAACTTGTATGTAGCTATAGAGAACTATGTGACCTCTAGATCAACGTACAAGTTTGGTGTTTGCTAGTGGTGGTCATCTCAGCTATGGTTGAGGTTCCCTGAAAATCAAGAATACGTAGGTAATAATTCAGAGTGAGAGAGAAAGCAGGGCTGAGGAGGAGAGTAAGTTAACTGGGGAGGAAGGCCTAGGGGGCTGTCCACTTGGTCTCTTTCACTGTTACTACATGATGGTTTCCTTATTCACGGTCCCTAGCTATGGTCACACAGAGAAAATGCTAGTTTTCCTCTTGTACCTGCTTATGAAGAGCTCAAATATGTGAAAAATTTGTATGTCTTGAAGAGTGCTAAAGCATGTACACTATGAATGTAGTTTTGACCATAACTGCTTTGGCTACCATTTTAAATCTAATTCTTCAAAAAACATGAGCTAATTTTCATTCATTAACCCTGAATAGAATATGACTTTTAACATAAGTGAATTTGATTTTTTTAGTTCCAGTGATAAAAATGGAATAAGATCTACTAGCATAAATTGTAGCAAAAAAAAAAGTAAGGCAACCAGACAGTGAAAGTTGATGTAGTATTAATTTAATAGGAATCCTGTGTACAATTTAAAATATTTGTAAAATGTCACTGTGAATTTCCTATTGTCTTTTTATAATCCTTTAACAAAGAATTTCCCCTAGGCATAGCTACTAACAGTATTAATAGTCTTAGCTAATTTAAAAGATTGGCATTTTAAGCAAGTTAAGGTGCTTAGGAAACATTGTAGAGTAAGTTTGAGGAAACATTAGCTGGCACGAGTGAGAGACCAGATTTTAATGTTTAACCACTGTAATGGAACCTCATTTTGGTAATATTCTAGATCATTGCTATTCCTGTGGTCTGAGGACCAGTAGGTAGCATTGGCGTCACCTGGCATCTTGTTAAAAATGCAGAATTTCAGAGCCACCCCAGATCTGCTGAATCATAATCTGCATTTTAACAAGATCCTCAAGTGATTTTTATGCACATTATTGTTTAAGAAGAGAGTATCAAAGTCCAAGCAAATCACTTACCTAATATTTAGAATTCTCAGTGGTCTCACAACCCTAGATCAAATGTTAGATATTAGATCATTGTAGTTGTCATTGTTTTTAACAGCTAATTAATTTCTTAATAGTGTCAATGATACTTCTTAAGTCCTCTAATTCTAAATTTTTAATGATTCTTATTTATTTTTACAATAAAAATGTAACATTTTGTATTTTTCTTGTTAACCATAAATGGAATCAAAGCTTGTAAATGCCTACAATTTTAAGTATGAAAGGGGTACTACCCTTGTACACAGTGAACAACAAATCTGCATGTGTATATTCTTTTAAAAACTCTGAAGGCTTACTCAGTGGAGCAGCTCTGAATTTTTGCTCCAAGTAATTTACACCAGTTGATTTTCTGGAGTGTGGAGTTATCTTAACAGTAAAATTATTTTTTTGGTACCTTTGATACTATGTCAAATAAGGATTATACATTTGAAAATTTTTATAGCAATTATAAATTTTGGATAATACTTACTATGGTAATAATTGTAATTATCCCTACTACTCTCTTTCCACTCATCTTTCCAAATTTGAAGGTTAGGGTGGCTTTTGTAGGTCATTTTCTCATGAAGAGGCTGATGTGACCATTTAGTCACAGACTGCCTATACATTCAGAATAGTCCCTTTTATCACAAGAAGGATTCTGCACAAAATCAGGGTCTTGTACCCCATAGCTCACAGGATCTGAGCAGAAGTTTTGGCTCTATTCCACACTTTAAACCTCTAGAAATTCTTGAAATTACCCAACCTCTTGTTCTTCAAATACCCAGCTGTCTGGGGTATTCTAGTGAAGCTGGATCCCAGAATTTGCCTTTTGAAATCCAAGTGGGGAGAGAAACGAAGTAGACTTTTCAGGGGAGTGTCCCAGAGGACCCAGGGCAAGTGAGTACCCTGTAATTCCTTGTACAGCATCATGGAACTTTTTAAGGCAGCTCTGTAGACTTGAAGAGCAGCAATTCTCAATTCTTAAATGATGGCAAATTGTGTTTTGAAAAAGCAAGATTTCATTGCCCTTTTCAATTATGGAGCAACTGTTTAGCAAACATTACTCATTTAAAAACAAAAAGTTGAAGTGAAGGGAAATATATTTTTAAACCAAAATAGATAAAAATGATCCCAGTTTTAAGGGATTTTGGCTATTTTGGAAGAATAAAAATGTTAAAACTTGTACATTTGAATTATAGAAACAAACGTACTCTGAGACATAATTTTAAACAAATGTTTAAAATAAGGCTGTTTAACACTTGAGTCTCTAGGCACGATAAATCTACATTTTATTAAAGGGAAGCACATCAAGGAAATATAGATGTTAAATAATGTAACTGAAAAAATATTTTTAAGAAGCCATTTAAAAAGAAGAATAATTTGATGGGTAGTTAAATTAAGCATTGTAGATAGAAATTAATGTATAATAATGTCTTCCCAATCTTTGGATAAAATTAAAACTCACTAGTCCTTTAATTAGCATGAATTTATACTTTTAGATTTGTTGCTTAGTAAAATTATACTCAGTACTTTGAGTTATTCACATTTATGTTTAATACTGTTAAATTCTTCATCAGAGTACATAAATACGTTGTCTTCTATACTTTGTAATTTGTGCATATCTAAAGAGACTAGCAGTGAACATTTTGGAAGATGTTTTTGTGTTTTTTTATAGTAGAGTTCTAGAGTATCTGTCTTGATATGAAGTTTCTACTGGTAAACTCAAGATCCTCTTTTGCACACTGTTGCTTTCTCTTATGTGCAGTTTATTGTGTACCTCTTATCTTTGCTTCTAATCGTGTAGTGATACTAATCTTTTCATAGTAGATATACTTGTTTCTAATTGTGTTCCTAGAGTTTACATTCCTAAAGGATAAACTATGACTTTGGATATTTTTATGTGCTCTCTACCTTTTTATGGCTATGGAAATAAACTGGAGTTTAGTTTTTCAAGTTTTGTATGTTTGTGTAAATGTTCTCCATATGCAATACTTATACAGCAGTGTTGCCTCTTGTTTTATTGAAATAAAAATTGAAAAAATATTTTTTTCCAGATCATTTTACTCATTAAAAAATCATCATAAAATTTTGCAGAAGTCATGATGTAGAGGAAGAAAGTAAGGGAGGAAGACTTAGGTGACTTGAGCCATTGAGAGCTTTGGGGAGTAAGCCGTAGGACAATGACATCTCGTTCCTGGCTTTATGTTTTACATGGCCTAAGGATGAGGAGTATGACAGGCCCATTAATGTCCATCCAAAAGAAGATGAGCTCCATGGGTCATGCACCATTGGCTGATTATTTGTCGCATCAGCAACACAGGCAAATTTAGGTAACAATGCTTTGCCTTTTTATCTTTAATATGAGTCTTTATCTGTTGAGTGCAGAGATTATGTGCTCCTAGTACCTAGCATAGGACTTTGTGCACGGTAGGTATTGAGACATTTAATGAATGAGTAAATTAGGTTGATGTTAGTTTGGGGAAGGAATCAAGGGTAAGGTCTCCAATGTATTATTTAATAGTAAAACTTTAGAATTTTATTTATTGGCTCTAGGAAATCTCCATGGCATTACTTGAATTGCACTACTGTGTGTGCTTAGAAACAAGACCCTCTTGGAAACTTGAAAGAAAAATCCCGGTGTGTAGTTGATGATATATTTGGATAATTCCATTTCATCTAACGAACTAAGTAATTTAGGAAATATTTTCTGAACTACTGTTAGAGGAGCATTTGTAGAGAACCAGCGCAGTGACTTTGTAAGCAGTATGTTAGCGGTACGAAATGTACATTCTTCTAGTGACTTTAGTAATCCCAATAAATCGTCAACTCACCTGACAGAGTCTGACTTTGGTAATACCAACATAATTATTTTATAATTATTAAGAAAGACTTTAACAAACAGTTCTAGTCATTTGGTAATTTCCCTTGCATTGTTATTGTAGTGGTAGTAATAGCTAATATTTATAATTAAAATTATAATCTTTAATCTTCAAAACAATCATAAAATGAGTGGAATCCCCATTTTACAAAAGAGGACACTGCAGCTCTCAAAAGAGCAGGTGACTTGCCCAAGGTCACCTAGCTGCTGGGTGGCAAAGCTAGGGCTTGAACACAGTTCTTAGGACTCTCACTTTTCTTTTATATCACTTGGTAAAAGAAGATACTTAGTAAATACTATGTAATGGACATATATTTGAAATTCACTCATCCCATCTGTCTTATAGCTAATAGAGTTAAGTTTTAAGATAAAAAATAAATGTTTTCCAAAAATAGATTATGATATGTTTTATAGAACTTTAGGTAATTGTGTTTCAGTGGTAAACTGAATGCTGGTTTTCTAATATTAAAAACATGGTAAAATACAAATTATGATAATTTTTTTAACCTGTCAGATAAAGATTTAAAAGATTAGTACTAGTATTGGTATAGATGTGGGGAAATCATTATTCTCTGAGACCATTCGCAGGAATGTAAATTGGTACAACTAAATTGGTGAGCACTTCAGCAGGATCTGTCAAACTTCGAAGTGCACATAATCTTCTCACCTAGCAATCCTACTCTTCTGTGTTTGTTTCACTCTCTATATTCTACAGAAATTCTAGCACAAATGTGTAAAGGTATTCATTGCAGCATTGCTTGTAATAGCAAAAAAAAAAAAAAAAAGCAGCAATCTAAATAGAGGACTGGATAAATTACGGTACATGCATGTAGTGGAATATGATGTAGCCGTTAAAAACAATGCAGATCTGTATGTGATGATTCAGAAAGATTATATAATATTGCCTGAAAAAAGCATGTCATAGAACTAAATATATATATATATAGTATGATCCCATTTTCATATGAAGTGTTTGGAACATTTAATATGGATGTGTATGTATGTATAATATGTTTATATATACATATATATGTAGATGTGTTTATATATATACATATACACACATGTATGTTTGCTGGTGTGCAGAGAGGAAAGCATGGTTTCTCTAAGTGTGATCTAAAGACAGCCTGCATTAGGAAAAAACTGGTGCTTTTTAAAATAGATTCCTGGGCCTTGTACTAATCCCCCTTAATCAGAAAAGTTGTGAGTGAAGCGTGGAAACCTATATGTCTAACAAGCTCCTCAGCTGATTCTTATACAAACTTAATGTTTGGCCTGGTAGCTGACGCCAATGAATTGGTTATCTTTGTGTCTCTGGTAGTGGTGTGCGGTTAGAAAGGACAAACTTATTTATTTATTTATTATTGAGGTATAATGGACATATAATCTTGTAGTATCTTCAGGGATACAGCATAATGATTAACTATTTGTATATATTCCAAAATGACCACCACAGTAAGTCTAGTTAACACCCGTCACCATTCATAGTTACAAAACTTATTCTCTTGTGATGAGAACTTTTAAGATTTACTTTCTTAGCAACTTTTAAATATGCAATACATTATTATTAACTATAGTCACCACACTGTACATTCCATCCCCATGACTTATTTATTTTATAACTGGAAGTTTGCACGTTTTTTTTTTTTAAGAAAGATTAGCCCTGAGCTAACATATGTTGCCAAACCTGCTGAGGAAGATTGGCCCTGGGCTAACATCCATGCCCATCTTCCTCTACTTTATATGGGTTGCCGCCACAGCATGGCTTGATAAGTGGTGCATAGGTTCGCACCCTGGACC